AAATAAATAAGGTATAGGTAAACAAAAGTGGGTAGGGGGAAATATAAAAAAATACAACTCGATAATATTTATAATAAATTATAAATAATTTTATTTTACCATTTTCAGTAGTTCTCTTTATTACTGAGTTATCTTATAGTAACTTTAACTACATATCAGCAGTTAATTCTACTGCAAAACTGTCATTGGTTCCTATTTAACTAAGAAAAGTAGTTAATGCAACTGTATTATTACTTCATTCAACTACATATCTGATAATTAATGTAAGTTCAAAATAATCTTTGGGGACTTATTGAACTAAGGAAAGTAGTTAAAAAGTAGTCAAATCTAATAAGAATTTTTTTCAGTGTAGACGTGACAGGATATCGACACGACGGACAAATTGAGACGACCATTTTTAAATAGATGTTATGATAATGAATTGAGCGCAACATGTATCGAAATTTTGAACTAAATATGGATCTCCCAACCAAAGTTTACATGGATGAGGCAGCCATATGTGAAAATCCATAGCATGAATTGTAAGCCCAACCATGCCTATGGATGTCACATTCATATTTGATTCAACAATATAATATGGCTCCCTCATCCATTGAATATTGAAAGTGCTTCCATCCTGACAGTTGTCTCTTCCATTGAATTGGATAACACAACAATATTCTGCTCAACAATATTTTTATGGATATCTCTTCCAGACCTTTTCTTTCAGTGTAAAACTAAACACAAAGTTTTAACATATATAAAACGGAGGTCTACAAATTTTTAAAAAGCACATAATGATAGAAAAAACATTGTACTTTCTGACATTATTTTAAAAAAAATTCTAAAAGTTTGAAAAAAGCATAAAAATTTAGTTTTTTTTATAGAAAACCTATTGGAGACATGCTAAGAAGGCTTCGGAGATGAAATTATTTTAGCTATTGCATAAATTCAGCAGAATAAAATTGTTAAATTTTTTTCTAATGATAAGTGCTAAATTTTTACTATATATGAAAATGGTTAACAACTATTAGAGAGTAGATTTTATAAAATTAATCGAGGAATAAAAAATGTCACTTTTAGAAGAATCACCCATATAAATGTGTTAGAATGTTATAATATTTTTTCTTTAAGATTCTATACATATGACCCTTACTATTAACGCTTAGTGAAACAATTATATGCACTAGGTTATTTAAATATCATGTAAGATGTTCAAAATTTGTTATACTTATTTAAAAATATGAAACTTAAGGACAGGCGATTTTGATTTTTTTTCAAGCACAGGGTTAAAATTATTCTATTAGTACAATCATTATATAAAAATATAGACTTTTAGGTGTACAGCTCAGCTGATGTATGGTCAGGCGTTTACTTTCAAAAAAAGTTTTCGCCGCAGTAGACCAGACGGACTTCTGCGCAATCTAACACACGTAAACACGGGAAAATATATTCTATACAAATACAATATGAAATATAAGTGTTCATATTTTCAAACATCTTTTAGTTATTAAAAAAACGTTTTAAAAACAAAAAAATGTGTAAACTGTAGCATGAAGTGTATTAAAAGTTGACTATTTAAAAGTTAACTATTTGAATAACACTTAATTTAATAATCACTCACATTATTTCTATATATCCGTTATGACACACATTGTCAATTGTGTCTCGATTGCACTGATTGCACTTTAAAGTTAACCTCAAATTAAAATCATATCATACACATATGTAAAACATGGTATACAAGAATTTGAATGTGTGAGTGATGTGCAGAAGCACCGCGCCGGCGACTTTTCGAAACGAAAAACGCCTGGTTAATGAAAGGCTTTTGACTCATCCCCACTACCGAAGTTTCACCTCCTGTCTCTAGCCTTCTTGAACTGAAGTTACCAACGTTGATTCAACGAAAAAATTTTTAAAAAAATTTTCTCTAAAAAGTTCAGGATACAAATTTTTCATGATTATTTTTAACCCAAGTAAACCCTCCAAACCCTAAAATAAAAAAATAGGTGGGTAAACAGAAGTTGTTATTTTTTTCTCACGGATTTTCCAAAAATCACGAAATTTCCACTAAATTAATAACTCCTCGCCCCGGTAGCAATTTTTTTCTTTTGATAACACAAGCCTGCAAAAAAATAAAAATTTCCGTTGCCTGAGATCGAGAAGTCATTTCCCGCAGTATTTGGTGCGCTGAATCGGAATCTGGCAACGAAAACCTTCCATCACGTCAGGATTTTAAGAAAAGTAGGGGTAAATTCCTAAAAATCATGTTTTTCGCAGTTTTTGAAAATTTCTACCGGGTAAATCCGACGTGCTAGAGACTTGTCATAGGAATAAAATTAAAGCTTGAACCCTCTACTATACAAAGATATAGCGATATTGCTAACAACGAACTAAATTAGCCGTCAAAAATGATTTTTTTAACAGTTAGCAAGCATAAAAATGGACTCACACTGTCTGTAAATACAACTATTTTAAAAAATGTTTGGATTCGCTTAGAATTTATTACTCTGGGGTTTTCGGGGTCGTTGATTACAATTATGATATCAAAATAAAAAATCTGTGGTTAGATTCATAATCGACGACCCCGATAACCCTCGAGTAACGAGTTCTATAGGCAATTTGAATCGATTTTTAACAAGTAGTCCGTCATACTGGATCAAGTCGGGGAAAGTAGTGATTTTGAATTTTTCTGTCCAAGATCTTCCAAAAATTCCGGAATTTCATTAAAAAAATTAAAATCACTGCTTTCCCCGACTTGGAACAACTTGAAATTTTTTTTAAATGGCTCGTGATATTAACATAAATAATTATCCGAAGAAAAAAAATTGCTACCGAGTAGAGGAATTATTAATTAAGTTGAAATTTCGAAATTTTTGGAGAATTCGTAACACAAAAAAATTAAAAATCACTATTTTCCTCGACTTGAAATCACTTGGAATTTTTTTTAACAGTGTCTAATATTAAAATAAACAATTATCAAAAGATAAAAATTACTACCGAGACGAGGAATTATTAATTTACTTGAAATTCTCGGATTTTCGGAAAATCCGTGACAAAAAAACCAAAATCACTGCCCATCATGAAAAATAAGTAAAAATATGTAAAACGGGCGAAGTAGCAATGACACATTGCTTCGCCCGTTTTTGGTTTTTTAATTAATTTTAATGGGAAAAAGGTTAGCTTGTCACTTGTATATTTTTGTGAAGATTGAATTAAAAACTTAAAAAGTTGTGAATTTTTATAATAATTCACAAAGTTTCTTTATTTATCAATATTTTTGGTGCTCATTAGTAATTTTCTACATAATATTTTATAAAAGAAACTAGATTATGTATTTTAATATTTTTTCTACCTATCTATGTAGACTAAAAACATTAATTTTTAGAAAATTCTTATTATTTTTGTTCAAATCAGTTCAAAAGTATATTAATTCAGATTTGGAAAATAAGTTTAATGATACTATTTTTGAAAGAAAAATTTAGAAATAATTTTATTTTTTTTTATTTTGATTTACAAAAACATTTTTTTTAAAGAAAGTGTTATAATTTTTGTATCTTTTTAATTTTAAATCTAAAAGAATCCCGTAAGAAATATATTATTTTTGGGTTCCAATTGGTGGTGTGCAAAATTCGATTCGAACTTGCCAATTCGAAAATCGACTGGGATCAAAAACTACCTATCGTATTTCCTACAGTGGAATCTGCATTGACTTGAAAAAACTTCCCAAAACCAAACATTGGTTTTGTAAGAAGTGTAAAAACACTTAAAAATTTTGTTTCGTTACCTTTTAACGAATGATTATATTTAAAACGTTTTTAAAATAATTTTTACTATAATTTGTTTTGTTTCGTTAAATTTTTAACGATGGATTTTATTTAATATGTGTTTTAAATAATCGACTTACGAAATTTTTAAATAAAATAAAATTTATAAATATTTATTCACATTAAGTGTGATTATATTGGAACACTTAAAAACGTTTTAATTGGTATAAAGTGTGAAATTCATTTTAAAACTTAAATAAAGAAACTGTACTTTTTTTAAAAATGAGCTACACATAATTATTTGAATTTGGTGTGAAGGTTACTAACCTGACTTCAACACACTTCTTTTCATTTCTGTCATTCACCTTAAAAATTTAAAATTTTTCAATGGTATTATAGGAATAACTATATAACGGGCGAAATAATTCATTGCTCTTATTTCGCCCGTTGTCCCCCACCTACGTATTTTTAGTGACGGGCGAAATAGACACAGCGATGGGATTTCAGATTTTCGGGCTGGACATGAAAATTACATTTTAATTTTAATCACCCACATATTTTTTATTTGTTTCTTATTATCAATTGAAATAAAACAAGGATTTTACAAATTTCGTTAAGTTTTCTCTTAAACATTTAAAAATGTCTCAACCTTCAAAATTTTGTCAATTGACAGTTTTATTTTTTGTTTAATTTTACATTTCAAAACAATTATAGTAAACGTGTGCTAAAAATTGCAGTGACAGAGGCAAATATTTTAAACAAAACTTTTCATTTTATTCAGATGAAAATTTAGAGGTTATAACCTCTAAACTTAGGTCAAAAAAATGCAATCAAAAAATGAATAATTAAGATTGTATTGAATATTAGTTAGAGAAAATTTATAGTACTAATAACACAAATCGCAGATTTTTGAAACTAACAAGAGAATAATTTTAATCAGGACAATAATAAAGAATAGAAAAAAGCAGTTGAATATACATACGTATATTCATATATCATACGTATTCATATATCATACGTATAAATATTTATTGATTAAAAGAAAAAAATTGACAAAAATATTATATATGCAAAGAAAAGGAAATTTCTTAGAAATGAATAATTAGGTAAATAAAATAAACATTTGGTCTGTAAATGATTTATAGTGTAGATAACCAGACCACCCACATAAACTATATTTGTAAAAATGTTATTTGGAAACTTTGTGTATATTCATAAAAATATACAGGTAAATTAAATGTACAAAATGCTCACCTTTAAATCTTTTCTTGACCACTAGACAAGAAATAAATGAATTCTACGTGCCTTAGAAGGCCAAAAATAGCTGTGGTTAGCAATTTCACTTTTCTTGTGACATTTTTATATAGATTCCTTCAATTTTTCACTTGCGCTTACAGATGTTTCATCTGATCATGTGAGAAAATCATTCAAATGAAAATTTTCATTTTCACAAAGTTTTGATACATCAATTTGTTCACTAGTTTTGATAATAGTTATGTAAAATATTTATAATTAATAAACCCAAAGAATAAAGACTGACAACGGATGTTTTTTAATCAGTGATGCACACTACATGAAAACAAATACTGAATTGCTATTGCAGTGATGCCAACTTTACCAAATACAAAAACCATGGTTACGTAGATAAGCGTAAGCCTAAGATAGTTACGTATTATGCTTAAAATTACATAATATTAAAATAATACAAATAAAATAATAATAAAACAAAATAACAATTTAATATGCATTTAATTTTTATTTTTAATTATTATTTACAATTTATGTAAAGTATTGACTAAGGCTGAAGTCCCATGGCAGCGTTTTGCGTTGCGTTTTGTAACTAGGCCATGAGTGTAAGAGAGATGGAGATATATGTTTGCTATATTTGCACGATTTGCACTAATGGCCTAGTTACAAAACGCAACGCAAAACGCTACCATGGGACTTTAGCCTAAGGCCGCAGTCCCATGGCAGCGTTTTGCGTTGCGTTGTAATAAGAGAGAATGCAGCAAACGTATATTTGCGTCTTTTTCTCTCCCATTACGACGCAACGCAAAACGCTGTCATGGGACTCCACCAGGGTTCGGAACGTAAACTACTCGATGTAGTCTACATAGTTGTCTACACGTATATTACACTGTAAAAAAATCTGCTGTAAATTTACTATGTCCGACGTTGGAAAGTTTGGTCACTATGTCCGACGTGGTATTTTTACACGCCGACTGTAATCTACATAACCTGCAAATATTTTTTGAAATAATATTTTCAGTCGTAACTTTTTGTATTTATGAAATATAGCCCAAAACTTTTTGTTATATTATTATTTACTTATAAATTAGCATATACTTTCTATAAATGTACATTATATACACTTTTTTAGAGTTATTTATAAAAACTTGAAAATTTTTTGAAAATCTTAAAGGAATAAGAAAATTACATTCGCCATGTAATTGTACAGATCGTGCGACGTAATATTACGTCAAAGTGTAGAAATACACGCAATGTAAAAATACCACGTCGGACATAGTGATCAAATTTTCCTACGTCGGACGTAGTAAATTTACACAAAACTATTAAATTACATAGTCGTATAATGTAAAATTATTAAAAATAGTAAAACTACTTTTGGAACGAAATAAATTTACTACGTACAACCTATAATTTTGATGTGTGAAATTACAAGTTTCGTGTTATTTTACACCAGATTTTTTTACAGTGTACCTGGTAATTTACGTGTCTAGTTCTCTACGTAGTTTACGTCCCTTAACAACATAACCTCTAATGTCACTTTGTTCATGTTGATCATGCTCACAAGCGTAGAGAAAACACGAAAATATTTATTATTTGGCTTTCAGTTTCAGTTCAATTAAATTTAAAAGAAAACTTAAAATATCAAAAAGTAGTAGTGGTGCTGGTGACAGGCCCAAATACGAAGTTTGTGATAAATTAAATTTTACTTTATCAAGAAATGAAAATGGCAAACATATTATATTTATCAGAAATTTCCGTATTTATATTAAAGCAAAAATTTTAATTTCGTATAAAAAACAATATTTATTTATCTAAAAAACTTAAAGTTTTATTAATACATATCTGTGGCCAACAAGTCGCATGTAACTTGTATTTTTTAAAATTTTTTTACAAATTAAGCACTTTGCTACCGTCTAATCTTCAACAGTTTTAATTTTTTCAAATTTCATTTCGAGCCACGAAATTTCTGTATATGTTTATTTAAAATTGCTATTTTCATTTTTAGAAGACATTGGTTAAATAATACAGAAATAAAAATAAGTCAAATAATAAATGTCAACAAATTCTGCGTTTGTTGATTTTAGACAGTATCTTTGCATTTCGTTGTAACAGTTGAAGTTGTCTACATACATTACGTATTCTACGTAAATTACGTAGAATATGTAATTTACGTAGACAACTCAAAGTTACGCGTAACTTCCGAACCCTGGACTCCACCCTTAGTCGGTATATTTGTAACGAGCGACGTTTATCTCGCTCTACTGATAATCGAATCTCGATATATCGATGAGATTTCTTTTAATTAATTTAAATATAAATTAATAATTTTAAGTAAAATGTTAATTCTAAATCGTAAGAGATGGCACAGCTTTTTAGATTTCGAATTATAAAACGAATCGTCTTTCAATTTATTAAATAGAATAAATATTGGAAAATACATACACAAAAACCTCTTTATCTGCTCCGAGAATTAACTCGTAAAATAAGCTATTATATTTCCCTAAAGTCTTCTTGGTATTTCCACTTAGGAATACTTCATATAAACAAAATCTAAATAAGTATCGAATATCTTTTCCTTTGACAAAGAAGTTTTGAAATACGCATTAATTCGGCAAAATGCGTTTCATTCCTTTATTCATAACTAATGTTAATAATTTGTTAATAATATGTGTAATGGTATTCATAAATATTAATTAATGTTTAAACTATTAAGTGTAAATAAACTATAAAACTTATTAGTGTATAAAATACAATAATTGTTATTAATTAATGAAATAGAATAAGACAGTATGTAATATATTTGATTTGTAATGTCTGAATAATGTATGACTTTTAGAAACAATGAGTATGACTGTATGAGTGTAAAATGCACTGTTGATGAGAAGAGAAGTGTATAGAAATGTACAGTGAATTGGTGGTGAACGTACGTCACTCAGGACTTGCGCAGTGAACAATATTATGTACTTAGAGTGGAGTCGCAGATCTCCTCTCGTTGTTCTTTAGTATTATGGAGAGTCCACAATATGTGCAAAATGCAGGTAGCAAGTCCCAGTGCAAGTGCGATTCCTATACATTTAGCATTGGTTCGCACTTGCACTTCTTGCCTTTTGCACCTATTGTGGACTCTCCATTAAGACTAATCTCTAACCGAAAGGTTGCATTTTGTAAAGTTGACTTTTATAATAAACTAACAGGGTTTCCTCACGAAGAAAGTAGAACTAATAATTGATTAATATAAATATTAATCATTAATTGGTTCCTCCTATTCGTAAGAGTTTTTCCCTCCGTTTTAACGGAATTACTTCTGTACACGGAAAAAATTAATTTAGTACATTTTACGAAACTAATTTTGGAATAGCGGATACGGAGAGGAGTTTAGTATAAGATAAAACAGAATCAATAGTAAAGGCGCTCTCTCACCTCTACTGCCTGCCTGCCTGCACAGGCAGGCGCAATGAGAGTAAGGGAGAAAAAACATTTAATTTGAATTTTCTGACTCTCTTACTCTTATGTGTTACCATGACGACCTGCAGGCAGGCAGGCAGGCAGTAGAGCTGTGCGAGCGCCTTAATATATGATGACTGCGTTTCTCGAAAACTCAAAAAAAATTCTATGCACTGTAAAAAAATCTGCTGTAAATTTACTATGTCCGACGTTGGAAAGTTTGGTCACTATGTCCGACGTGGTATTTTTACACGCCGACTGTAATCTACATAACCTGCAAATATTTTTTGAAATAATATTTTCAGTCGTAACTTTTTGTATTTATGAAATATAGCCCAAAACTTTTTGTTATATTATTATTTACTTATAAATTAGCATATACTTTCTATAAATGTACATTATATACACTTTTTTAGAGTTATTTATAAAAACTTGAAAATTTTTTGAAAATCTTAAAGGAATAAGAAAATTACATTCGCCATGTAATTGTACAGATCGTGCGACGTAATATTACGTCAAAGTGTAGAAATACACGCAATGTAAAAATACCACGTCGGACATAGTGATCAAATTTTCCTACGTCGGACGTAGTAAATTTACACAAAACTATTAAATTACATAGTCGTATAATGTAAAATTATTAAAAATAGTAAAACTACTTTTGGAACGAAATAAATTTACTACGTACAACCTATAATTTTGATGTGTGAAATTACAAGTTTCGTGTTATTTTACACCAGATTTTTTTACAGTGTGGAATTCACAAATGATCGGTTGGACGTTCTAATTCAAGAGTTTTGTAAAATGTTTAGCCTGAAGCGCATGCGCCACGGAAAAAAATATTCACGGAGAAAAAAACGAATAAAGCAGAAAAAAGAATTTCTTAATGTACCAATGAGCACTCAAGACCATTTTTTCTCGTCTTCTATAGGAGATAGATGATTGGTTCGACACATGTGACTGCCAATGGTTCGCTTGGATTGGCTTATTTTATTCTGCAACTAACTTAACGGAAATACGCATACATATAAACAAATTCTGACGCAACGCACATACAATATAACTCGCACTTGTAGATGAAAGAATTGAGTTTCTTTATATACTAACTGAGGAGATTAAAACTGCGCTTGTGAGAAATGTCAATATACTGAATATTAATTTTTAAAAAAATCATTTTTTTAAAAGTTATACAAAATATTTTATAGTTTTTAAAATAACATTTTTTAATTATAATTGGTTATAAAATCTCTATAAAATTTTTCAATTTTTAAAAAATAATTTTATTCTTAATTTTAAATTATAAATAAATTGCAAAAAAATTTTCAAAATTAAATTCAAACTCAAAAAATTTTAATATTAAATTGTCTAAAATTTGAAGTAATAACAGTTAAAACTAATAAAAATTAGAATTAATTAAAATTTTGAGAAATTAATATATATGTACATTTATTGGGGGCCGCACAGTGGGTGATTTTGCTCATTTTTGTGTCAAAATCGTAAAACTCTGAGCAGAAACAACATAAAAGGATAAATCTTTTTCGAGAGTATAGATTAGTGCCTACGGATTACGGGAAAAATAAACAGAAGCGTTAAAAAAAATTTTATAACCTTAAAATTTTACGTGGAAGTCAGAAGTTTCAGTAAACAATCAATATTATCCAATACTGCGCAAGTTTGCAAGTCGTTTTTCATCCAAAAAGTATTTTTCCTAGTAGATTTTGAGTCAACTTATTCGTACCTATGGTTCAAAATAATTAAAAATTATTTGGTTTTGAATAAATAAGGTTATAAATGTCATACTTTTTCTCACCTCGGCCTCGTTTAAAACAAATTAAACATAATTTTTTTGATAACTGAAGGTATTTTAGGGGTTTTTAGGG